AATGCGAAGCATTGCTGGAAAAATAAAAAATAAGTTTAGAGGGCAAGTCCATTTAACTTTGAAATAAATGGCTATCTCGCCAGTTTGGCCGGAAATCACCAAAAGTCTCTAAACCTGACAACCATTTGTGGATATTTTAGTCTTATACCTATGTGACTGTACCTGGGCTGATCCTTACGTAACTTTAACTGTGTCCGGCTCTGTGTAACTCTAGCTGCGTATGCCTTCCAGCAATTTCGAGAAATCGAAGGTTCTTTAAATTTCTCGGCGGGCGGGGCAATATGATCAGACCAGAAAGATAAAAAGTTAGTTTAGAATAAAACGTATTGAGCGAGTGTTCATTTGAAGCTTTTTATGTTGTCTTGTGTTTAACGTTCTCAGTAGTTTGAAGTGGTAACTACTGAAAAGAGTTGTACGAGTACTTTTGCGGAAAGTTCTTGAACTGTAAAGTTCTTTTGGGAAAATAAATTTTGTCAGTTATCACCGGTTCTGGATGCATTCAATCCATTACGAACCTGTACGCAGGTAACAATATTAATACTTCAAAATGAAATATATTGTTACGGCTTTTGTATTCATTTAGCTATTTTTAGTAGAATTTGTAATTAAAATTGTTTTATATTCCCGTGCAATGCAGCACGAGATTTATTGGAAGAGAAAGCTACGCCGGAAAAATTAAAATACAGGAGCACGCGTATTTAACATTTTAATAAATAGACATCTCGTAACTGTATTCTTGCTATCCAGAAAAATCGAGAAAATACGAGAATGTTCTCATGCATTTAAAAAGCTTATAAAAGCAGCAGGAAAACATCTCAGTTGAGTTGTTTAGAAAACTGTTGTTGTTTACTGTAGGGGATTGATTTGCGGCGAGATCGGATTAGCTTTCTCTACGTGTCTCAGTGTTTTGAATTGAGTTTTATTCAACGTTTTAATAGTTTAAAATATACCTATCGTGAGATATTGCGATATTGTAGTAATATCTCTGAGGAAATTTCAGCATTTTGTTTTTATTTGTTGTGATAAGAATAAATTTTATTCACTTTTCATCGGACTTGTGCATTCAGTTTATTACGAACCCGTACGCACGCAACAGTATTTTTATTGAGTTGTAGCTTATGAGAGCAAATTAGCTGATCTCGAAAATCAATTCAATTGCCTTACGCGCCTGTGCCTGGAACCGGCCTGACTAAAGGCATTGCATTACAAATGAAAAGAATCTGTAGTCTATCCTCATCGATAGCACAATAGTAGAGCAATGTGAGCATTAACATCATCTGCTTACAGCTCTATGTTTAAAAACATCAAACTTGGATGCAGGATAAACAGCGAACATATATTTCTTCCAAATACAGATGATGCCTCTGGACTAAAAGGGAATAGGGTAACAAGCGTAATTCTATTACAGAATACTCAAAAAACATATCGGTACACTCCATAGCTCTGGTGAAGAAATCAACTGGGCGTACAAATTCCAATATCTCGGACCTGATTTTGGATTCTAGTTATTCTCTCAAAAATCCAAGAGAATATAATAAATAAAAAATTACCATAGCATTTATAATGCTTAGCATATTACTATACATCGTATTATGATAATATGCTAAGCATTATAATGCTATTAGCATATTATAATGATTTCACGGCTAGTAGTAATAGGTGTTTGTTTTACTCATTTTATGCTCATCTTTTTTCGAACTGACTGACGAACCTTCTAAACCTATATATGTTTGAAAATCTGTAGGCCCACCAGCGGCCGAGCGGTAAAGTCGTTGAACACTGGTAGTTCGGTCCGAGGTTCGAATCCCGCGAACGGGCTGGCTGCATGGGCGTTTTCGTGGTTTTCCCCATGTGTAACGTGTATACGAGCCAGTTTCCTTTAGAAATTCCTCCACGAAGGCATACCTTCCCTTAGGCAGATAGCCCTCGAGGCTTTGCCATAATCACACACACACACACACACACACGAAAATCTGTATAAGTGTTGCACCCTGATTACCGTATGACACGCCGGGAGGCCATTAACCACAAGCTGCAAAGCTGCCTGAGTCGAAGGGTAACGGTGCTTCTCTCTACGTTATGGAATGTGTTTGAGTGAGTTTTTAAGTTGGTTGTTGTGGGTTTTTACTGACTAAAAGAAATTAGTAGCTAGGCGTTTAATGAAGTCAGGGATGGTATCAATGCGTAAATCTTTGGCATGTAAGTGTTGGGAATGTGTCATGGGGCGTTGACAATTTCGCGTAGTATTTTGTTTTGTAATACTTGTGTTTGTTTTAAATTAGTGTTTGCTGCGTGTCCCCATATAGGTGCTGCATATAATAAGGCTGGTCGGAGTATCAAACGATATAAAATGATTTTGTTGAGTACTGAAAGATTGCTTTTTCTTCCTAGGAGTGGTCTTATGGATGCAGCACTAATTTTAAATTTTATCGTGGTAGATCGGAAATGCGACTTAAAAGTGAACTTTTAGTCCGGTAAAACTCCGAGGCATTTAATTTAGGTATTCCAGTTAATTTCTTCTTCAAAGATTTCCACTGAGGATAGTATCTCATATTGTCTTTTCTAAAGATAATTGCTTTTTTTTTTTTTTTGTATTAATTTGAATGAGCCAGAGGATGAGCCATTCTTCGAGTTTCATTAAATAATTTTGCAATTGGTTTCTGACAGCATAAACATTGCAGGTTTATGTGAATACTCATCAGCAAATAATGCAAGATGTATAAGAGGGTCTTTTGGGATGTCGTAAATATGGATATTGTGGAGATCAGTGGCTTAAATAAGGGTATGCAAAGAGTGCCGTCGCATAGGGGCCCGAAGGCTTAAGGGTCCCTTGAATGTTCTCCTGAACTACATTCAGATGATTAAACTTAAAAAAATACGCATTCTTTTTTAAATAGTATGACCAAGGGCAAGGTACCCCCATAAAAGCTGAATTCAGTGTTACCAAAATGTCGAGTATCATATTTCAACGGAAATATTCATTTTGACCGTTCTCAAATTCATTTCTACTGTTTATTTTCGTGACATTTGTACGTACGGACAGAATAAAGGGCTCTTCCCTTCAAAAAGGATTATAAAATGGGTTTAAAACGGATTCAAAAAGGATTTTTTTCGTGACATCTGTACGTTCGCATATACGTGCATACGTACGTGTACAGAGAGTTAGAGATATATATCTCGCATAACCCAAAGCCGTAGAGCGTTGAAATTTTGTATATGGGAGTGCTATAATAGCTAGTTGTGCACTTCACTTTTTATTGCAATTGGCAGAATATATATCCACCCACTTATCCGTCTTAAAAGTACTGTAAATTTAATAGGGGGACTCCAAAATGTTTTTGCATAGGGGCCCAAGAGTTCTAGTTACGCCACTGGTGGAGGTATGGGGAAGTTGCGGAACCCTGACAATAATTTTTCTAGTAGAAGAAGAGCCAATTCTAATTTTAAAGGTTCTATTACTGAGAAAGGATATGATGAGGCGGATGAAGTGATCTAAAATGTTGAGAGCAATAAGTTTGTAGATAAGACCGAGATGCCATACCCTGCCAAACGCTTTCGCGATATCGAAGAATATGACACCTGTCGGGAATTTGCAGTTATACCCGTCTGTGATTAAATTGATGACTCTGAGGAGTTGATGACTTGTGCTGTGTTTATTTCTGAAACCGAACTGCTCATCTGGGATAAAATTGGATGAAGGGTGAAGTTTCTGAATGTGGAACAATAGTAGTTTTTCTGTAATTTTTGAAAGGTGACTGGAAAGGCTTATAGGTCGATAATTTTGCGAAAAGGTAGAATTTTGCTACGGTTTAACGAAAACTATGATCGTAGCATGTTTCTACGAGGTTGGAAAAAGAGCAAATTTTATGATATTGTTGATAATCTTGGTGAGACAAGTAATGGCGTTAACTGGAAGGAGCTTTAATGCTTTAGTAGTCATACCATCGTACCCTGAGGCTTTCTTCGTAGATAATGAGTTGATGAAGTTTGCAGCAAGGCAAGGGGAGGCGAGGAACGTGAAGTTAAGAGAGTCGGGAATCTCATGAATATGATTATTTTCACATGAATGCGGGTTATGAATGAAAGTATTTTCCATTTGGTCAGCGAAGGTATTCACTTTGTCCTCGTCGGAATAAGCAATGCCTCCTGCTCCATGTATGGATGGAATAGGTTTGTAAGGTTTCTTGAGTTTTCTTGAAGTTCTGTATAAGGAATTATCCTCAGTAGCGAGATTATTGAGGAAATTCGTCCATTTTTAAATTTTAAACTTTCTAATTCTTCTATTTATATTCCTTTGCATCACATTCAGTTCGTGCTTGATTCTGGGGTCTTTGATGGCTGTTATTACATCGTACTAGAATTTGAATATCTGACACTGTTGCCATATACAAATTACTAAACTATACTAACAAATTCTTAGTGAGGCTTGCTCATGAGCCGAAAAATATAAAATACAAAATAATAAACATTAAAATAAGTAATGTATTCTTAGCAGGTACCACATCGTGAAAATTTTCGTCAGCCAAGGTAACCTAATTCTTGAACTTTGTAAATTTGAAGTTCTTGGAGTATGCGAAGTGCGTCAGTGAACTTTCTTTCTGCGCTATCATTAGTCCTTTACAAGGCTCTTCTTTGCTTGTCATACGTGTATAATTTCAGCCCTATTTATGGTTTTTCAATGTGCTGATCAAATTACGCAAGAAAAAGTGGGTGTTGCCATTCGAAAATTTCGAAATTGTGTCATTGTAATTAAAAAAAATTTTATTCTGCATTTTTTTTTTTTTTTTCTAATATTCCTTAAATGCGAATATTATTGCACTTACTTGTCAGACGTCAAATCTTCCGCATGTAGCATCAACAAAAATACCGTGATAGTTTGAAAGTTTGCAATATGCCAAGATTTTAAGGGACGAATTCAAGTGCAACGCTCTCTTTCACCAATACTTTCACTTTTGGTCAACTGCGATTCAATGCTACATTACGAAAAGGGACAATGGCAACACATTGTCATGATCAATATTTTGTAGAGGATTTTACTTTTTAAGTGACGTGAAAATGATATTTATTCGCTATCCATTTCATTCTGATATTAAGTATGTTCATGTTAACTCTGATTATGTAAAGTCCGATTTGTTGGAAGATTTCGTTACATCTAATTTGGTAAACAGATCTTTCATTTCATTGCATGCACTTATTTAGATTTTATATGATTGTATTACCCTATATTTTCCTTGGTATAAAATCCTTTTTCTGTTAAATTCGTGTGTAAGAAAAAATTGTTTTTTATTTCTATGGAATGTTATTAGGTAATGAGGTATTCATTTATAGATAGATTTAAAAAAGAAAATGTATTGTTTGTTGTTTTGTAAAATGGTCAGCTTATTTTTGACTATTGTTAAAGAAGTACTTGTGATAAAATTAAATGAAATGTCTTCGTGAATATGTGTCATGTACCTGTAATTTACATTTGTCAATTAATGTTACTTTTTCCAGGTAGCATTACTGCTGATGGATCTTTTTAAATCAGACTTTATGTACAAATTGAACAGTATTAACGATCGCATTTTATTTAATGTGGGATTGTGCAGTACAGGTTGGACAGTACTAACAATTGGATTTTATTTAGTGTGGGATTGTGCATTACGAATGTCCATATTTGGGAACATTTTTGGTTAATCTTCGGATTATGGTAACTTGGCGATTTTTTGGCGAAAATGTGGCGACCAACCCTGCTACAGCAACTTGCTAGTTTTTTAACTTGGACGCTATTTTGTTTTCACGAAGTAAAGGCATGTTTTTCTTTTTTTTTTTTCCTACTCAACATTTTTTTCCAACAATCTGCTGGCCGAATTACGCTTATGCTAGAACTTTTATGGTATAGAAGTGCTTAATCATGACGAAGATTAGGTGCGAAATTGGGAAAAAGTGCAGAATCGCCCACTGCTTGCCGCGATTTTAAGAATTGCACATACATGGTATCATCTATGTACATGTCGACCTATTTTCACTTAAAAAAACATCCCAGAATTGCACAAAAATGGCATTGCGCATACTCTTGACTTTATCCATGTACACTGCTAAAGTCCTAGATAGTAACCTTTATCGCTTTACCAAAATGTCGCCAAACTACCTGTTACCATATTCCAAAGATTAGCAACATTTTTATTTGTCCCCCCCCCAAAAAAAAACATAAAACATTTAATTCTTATTGTGGAAAAGTGAACCCTCCTCTTAATGTTTTCACTGTCTAGTGATAGTGCTTTCAAATCACACTCTTTAGGGCAAATTAAATTATACTAACTGTTAAATGATATTACATGTGCGAAATAACTGTTAAATTTAAGCTGAAGTTTGAAATTTTTAGCCCAGAAGGGCTATTAATTTCATGGGGAAAATGCAGAATCACCCACTGCTTCATGTATTTTTCAAAACCGCTAATTTGAAAATAACAAGTCAAAGATTTGCATAAACTGAGAATTGCACAAACTTGGCATTGCACACTCCCTTGACTTTGTACACATCGATAGGCGCCATATAAGCAGGCGATTCTGCATCAACTTGAAAGTAACAAGTCAAAGAATTGCACAAACTCGGAATCCATGTACACATTGACCTATTTTCACTTAAAAAAACATCAGAGAATTCCATAAACTTGGTATTGCGCACTCACTTGACTTTGTCCATGTACACATCGATACGCACCATATAAGTGGACGATTCTGCACTTTAACCCTAATTTCATTTTGGCATTTTGCATTGATTCATTATAAATGGTGCATCTCTTTTTAAATTTTTGTGACCAAATGTTATCGGCCTGTATTTAAAGAAATTAAATAATGAAGAATCTGCATAAATGTATGTATGTTTCTTGCACTGCGATAAAACAACGGTACCTAGAGCCATCACATCTGGAAGCCCAGATTTTGAATTTGTTTTATTATCTATATCCTATTTTGTAAAGCATTTATGAGTTTTTGATTAAGAAACTATGATTCCAAAGCGAATAATACTGTACGGGGAAAAGAAAATTTTATCTTCGGGGCTCGAGACTGTCTATCAGAAATTCTAAAATATGCTGTTTCAAATATTTTGTGTTATTGCTATTGAATTGAATTTTGTGGTTTAAGTGCGAAGAACTTGATATTTAATAAATAAAGGTATCGTACAAAGCATTAAAAAACACTCCTTTGTTTGTAATATAAAATCTTAATGCTCTCAGATTTTTTTTTTAAAGAATTATAGGTACTTGTCAGTGGTTTTACCAGTGATCAAAGTGCGAAGTAAAATATGTCACCAAGTTTGGGTGCTATGCAAAAAAAGAAAAGAAAAAAAAAAAAAAAAGACGGACTTAGATGAAAAAAAGTCTAAAAAGGTTAAGTTTTTTCATCACTCAGAAGGGTTTTTCTTTTATTAGGTTTTAAACATTTTATTTTTATTAGGTTTACATTCCCCCTTCCCAAAATAAGAGATTGGATATTTTCTCTGTGTACTGACTTTTAATTGATTATTTTTATCCTAAATTTCTGCCATCTAAAATGAATTACTTTCAGTACTAACTATAACACTAAAAAACTTGGGTTAATCTTTGGATTATGGTAACTTGGCGATTTTTTTGCGAAAATTTGGCGACCAACCCTGCTACAGCAACCTGCTAGTTTTTGGGTTGATCTTTACATTATGGTAACTAGGCGTTTTTTTGGCGAAAATTTGGCGACCAACTCTCTTACAGCAACCCTCTATTTTTTTTTTCCTGCCGCCATTTTGTCTTCACGAAGTAAAGACATGTTTCTTTTCTTTTTATCTACTGAACACTTCTTCCAACAATCTACTAGCCGAATTACACTTATGCTAGAAATTTTATCTAACAAAACTGACTGCTTAATCATGACAAATATTCACTGCAAAATTGGAAAAAAGTGCACAATACCATACTCCTTACGCGTTTTTCAAAATAACACATACACATAAACCATGTACATGCCGACTTATTTTTACTTAAAAAAACATCCCAGAATTGCACAAAAATGGCATGGCGCACACTCTTCACTATATCCATGTACGCTGCTTTTTTCTCATAAATTAGAAAAATTTCACGAAAATACATGACAATTTTCTCAATTCTATTACATTATACACGTCACCAACGAATTCATACCGCAAGCATTACAAATACTTAGTATCAAATATTTAAATTATTTCCATGCACGTTTACTTCAACTTAAACGTGTACCAAATTCCTACAAACATAAAATTCACAAAATAACTATCATTTAATTAAAATATCACTAAACCATGTACACGTCGACTTATTTTTACTTAAAAAACATCCCAGAATTGCACAAAAATGGCATTGCGCACACTCTTCACTATATCCATGTACACTGCTTTTTTTTCTCAGAAATTAGAAAAATTTCACGAAAATACATGACAAATTTTCTCAATCTTTAAAACCCGGTAAAAAGAACATATATGAAATTACCTTATTGCGAAAAAGTATTTACCCTTTCCAAATATGAACATTTCCACATATAAAATAAATAAAATATCCAAAAACTTTTACCTCTAAATCATCTATTACATTATACACGTCACCAACGAATTCATACCATAAGCATTACAAATACTTAGTATCAAATATTTAAATTATTTCCATGCACGTTTACTTCAACTAAAACGTATACCAAATTCCTAACAACATAAAATTCACAAAATAACTATCATTTAATTAAAATATAATTAAATTCAAAAACACTACTTAAATATAAATGAGCACATACATTAAATTAATACATACATAAATACCCATTTCGAATTCACTTTAGTTACGGCCATGGGATCCAAAAATTCACGAACACTGTTTCACACAACACAGAATAAAGCCAAATACAAAATTTCCCGATTTTTTCCCGATTTCCCCCCTTTTCCGATTAAAGAACCGTAATTCGTCCATTAATATCACATGACATACCCCATGATCTCTCATTTCCCTCACACAAAATAATGCGTAATCGGAACTGAGTACTGCTCACATTATTACCAAAGTCCCAGGTAGTAACCTTTATCGCCTCCAAAATGTTGCCAAACTACCAGTTACCATATTGTAAAGATCAACCAGTTTTTGTTTGGACGCCATTTTGTTTTCACGGAGTAAAGGCACGTTTTTTTTTTCTTTTACTGAACATTTTTTTCCAACAATCTGCTAGCCAAATTACGCTTATGCTAGAACTTTTATGGAACAAAAGTGCTTAATCATGACGAAGATTAGGTGCGAAATTGGGAAAAAGTGCAGAATCGCAAACTGCTTGCCGCGCTTTTAAGAATTGCACATACACGGTATCATCCATGTACATGTCAACCTATTTTCACTTAAAAAACATCCCAGAATTGCACAAAAATGGCATTGCGCACACTCTTGACTTTATCCATGTACACTGCTAGATATACACATTAGTAACTTTTATCGCCTTACCAAAATGTTGCCAAACTACCTGTTACCATATTCCAAAGATTAGCCAAAACTTGTTCTGATTAATGATATTGTTGTTTTTTCTGCTAATAATTTTTGCTATTAATTCTACTTATAATTTCAGAAGTTGGTACTTCTGGCTGATCTTTGGAATATGGTAACTGGTAGTTTGGCGACATTTTGGAGGCGATAAAGGTTACTACCTAGGACTTTGGTAATAATGTGAGAAGCACTCAGTTCCGATTACGCATTATTTTGTGTGAGGGAAATGAGAGATCATGATATATGTCATGTGACATTAATGGACGAATTACAGTTGTTTAATCGGAAAAGGGAGAAAATCTGCAAATTTCGTATTTAGCTATACTATTCTGTCTTATGTGAATCGTGACATTAATGGACGAATTACAGTTCTTTAATCAGAAAAGGGGGTTAATTTGGAAAAGCTTCATTGTGTGTTGTGTGAAATAGTGTTGATTAATTTTCGGATTGCATGGCACTATGTAAAGTGAATTCTAAATTTTTAATGCGTTTATCTGATAATAATAATAAGTTGAGGTTGTGTGAAAGGAAGGATATTACAAGTTTAAATGGCTGTGCAAGAAATATGGTGAAAATGGACATTTTGTGAAAAAGAGTGTAAGGAAGGGTACGTGGTTTGCTGAAAGTAGTTTGAGTATAGGTGAAATTTTATTAATTTCTTATTACTTGGTGAATAGACTTCCTGTTGACTACTGGATTTAGGATTTAGCAGTAGTACTGCAGCGACGTAATGAAGATTCTGAAGAAGATTAGGCAAGTTAGTATTTTTAATCATTTGAGGATGTTATTTTTATGCATTGTTCTAAATGTAAGGAGTAAATAAATTAAAATGGTATTATTTGAAAATTGTTATTAGCAATGATTTAGTTTAAAGTAATTAGGATTGTAATCTAATTTTTATTAATTTAATGTATGTGCTTATTTATATTTTAAGTAGTGTTTTTTAATTTAATTATTTTAATTTAATGATCGTGATTTTGTGAGTTATATGTTTGTAGTATTTTGGAATATGTTTGAGTAGTATACGTTGAGTATTTTCATGCATTTTCGTGAAATTTTTTCTAATGTATGAGAAAAAAGCAGTGTACATGGATATAGTGAAGAGTGTGCGCAATGCCATTTTGTGCAATTCGGGATTTTTTTTTAAGTAAAATAATCGTCGACGTGTACATGGTTTAGTGATATTTTAATTAAATGATAGTTTTATTTTGTGAATTTTATGTTTGTAGGAATTTGGTATACGTTTTAGTTGAAGTAAATGTGCTTGGAAATAATTTAAATATTTGACACTAAGTATTTGTAATGTTTGCGGTATGAATTCGTTGGTGACGTTTATATATAATAGATAATTTAGAGGTAAAATTTTTGGATATTTTATTTATTTTATACGTAGAAATGTTCATATTTGGAAAGGGTATATACTTTTTCGCGATAAGGTAATTTCATATATGTTCTTTTTACCGGGTTTAAAGATTCAGAAAATCGTCATGCATTTTCGTGAAATTTTTCTAATTTATGAGATTTATGAGACAAAATGGTGGCGGAAAAAAAAAAAAAAAAAAAAAAAAAAAAATAGAGGGTTGCTGTAGCAGAGTTGGTCGCCAAATTTTCTCCAAAAAATCGCCAAGTTACCATAATCCAAAGATCAACCGTACTTCTTTGTCATAGTGCCTCACTGAGACTGAATCACTAATCAACCGAGATATCTCACCAAAATCTGGCTATGTGTTTTTATATCTTGGTATGTGATTGTATATTAGCATCGGCTGTGTGTTTTCTTATGCCTCACCACATAATCGTATATTAGCAGTATGTTGCATTTTTGCTCTAGCCACACGTTTTTATATTTGAGGTTTGATGACATTTTTTATGAAGTTTTCAAATTTGTGCTGTTTATTTAAAAATATATTCTTTCTGTCTCTCTATATATATAGATAGATAGATAGATACATGACTTTAAAAATCTCTAATTTACCAAGTAATGAGGTGGAAGTTATATCATTTTTTCAAGAAGCAGGTCTTTAACCTGAGAAATGAGTATACAAAATACAAAAATGGCCACAACATGAAATTTTATGTTAACTGTGAAACCATTTGGAGGTGCAATGTTACAAATTGTAAAAAGGAGAACTGCCTCCATATTGGAAAGTGATTGAACAGTTCAGAATATCATTTGTCACTCCTATTAGATTTATCTATTCTTAGGCAGAGGAGTTGATGGCGGTGAAATGCTGTAACAAACAGCTTAATCATGTGTAAAGTGCTGCAGTTAATTGGAACAGGTACACACATTAAAATAATAATAATAAGGATAAGTGTTTTTAAAAATATTCCTAGAAAAGGACATGTGAGTATTATTGTTATTATTATATATATTGTGTTGTTTAATTTTACATTCATGCTTCACGAGCTTGGGAAAATTACAGCTGATATCTTGTTGCAAATCTGAAATTGCCAAATAATGTTGGGGGCTGCTGTAACAAAGAAGTACCCAGAAGTTTTTCTCCTAAGTGAAGTATTTTCTCAATTGCATGAAGCAGTACAATTAGAGTGATCTGTTTTCTTTATTTTCAGGATATTTATGACTTCTCATTGTATCATAATGGAAAGAAGCTTGATAGAGGAAGCGATGTTTCAAATGGATCTACGGTCTATGTTAGTTTCTCATTGCCAGGAGGGAAAGGAGGTAAGCAAAATGAAATTTTAAATTAGTTAGGCAAATTGGTACTATTCCATTTTGAGGATTGTAAAAAATTGTTTTGAAAATGTATGTGCAAAAGCGCCAAATCTAGCAAATGCGCCCATTTAACAGCGCGCCAAATCTAGCGTACGCACTAATTTCAGATTGCGTAAGTTTATATAGTTCTATATTTCTTAAGACACCATTGAAATACTAGTTTAATTTTTAAATCCTTTTTTCATTTTAAATCCTTTTTTAATAGCCTATGGATTTAACAATTTGAGAATTGCCCATAACGAAAAGTCGGCAATAGAATTTTGGGTAAAGTGCAGAATCACCCACTGCTTGACGCGTTTTTAAGAATTGCACATACTCGGTATCCATGTGCACATCGACCTATTTTCACTTTAAAAAAAATCCTAGAGTTGCACAAAAATGGCACTACGCACACCCTTGACTTTATCTATGTACACATCGACCTATTTTCACTTAAAAAGTAAAAGATAATTGACAAAAATTCAATTGTTTTTACCCTTGTAAAAAGCGGCAAACAAATAAGTGAGCAATTCTGCACTTTACCGAGAATATTTTCAAAGAAAAGGCATCATTCATTATAGAAAATTGTGTTTGAACAACCAACGAGATAAAATTATGCTTTTGCGATAAGTCGGTAGCGAAATAGCGATGCAGGCATCCATTCAGTTATGTTTAGCAATTTTTATATAAATTATAATAATGATCTGAAATAGTTATTTTCATATAAATTGTAATAATAAAAAAGTATTATATGAAATTAACCTTTCTAAATCAAAACATGAATCTTAGATAGTTATTTACTATTATACTTTCTTTCTTGCAGCAATTATTTTTGGCAGCATTGCCATCAACAATAGTTTGGCGATTTTTTACGGCCCTCCAAACCGAATAGTACCGGCAAATTATCATAAGTACTTAAAAAATTGTTGTGAATTATTCGTAAGACATTAATGCAAGTATTGTAGAGCATGAATATGAAAGAAGTTAATTGGTACTTGTGTATTAGCGCAACCACCTAGGCACAGTTAGGCAGTTTTTTACCAAAGAAAAATGGGATTCAGTGAATTTTCGGATTGCGACTTACAATGGATATAGTTTCGTAAAGAACTGTTATGTGCATGTTTGCCAGTGGATGGTGACTTTTTACTTCAATGGTTGTGATAATATGTAAGTACCCTTTAATTTAACAATAGCCCTTTTAATTCTCCATTTTAATTCAAAACTAATATTCATTATGTCATTTATTAATCCTGCAATGCGGTCACCATTCAAAATATAAACAAAGGATTCCACTGTATTAGTACAATTTGCTGAAATACACTCTTACTTCTTCTGTCTTCCTCTTCCTGTACTGACATGCATTGCCCACTTCTGTGTTTTATCTGTTGTCTCAAAATGTGAAAAGTTGTATATATAATTGTGGGATGCTTGTCCCACCTTTAGTGATATGTAAAAGAGAGAATGTGTCCTAAAGAGTAAAGAAATGATATTATATTGTGCATCTACAGCTACTTTTGGTCTCTTATGTATCCTATCTGAATGCCAGCAACATCTATAACTATCTCAGCCATGACTAAAAAAATTAAATTTTTTATAAAATTAATTTTTTATAAAAAATAATTTAATTAAATGTATCTAATACGCCTTTTTTATTTTGCACTTTTAGTCTGAATATTATCTTTTCTGTCTTGAAATCTGCACAACCTCGGGTCCCAAGTGTTGCGGATTTCTGGACTTGTACTGTATTTGTCTTTGTAAATTGTAAATATAGTTAATTGCAGAACTAAGTATTTTTCAAATTTTAACAGTACGTGTTGTTTTAAAAACACATGTTTTAAAACTTTTGATGATTTTTATGTAAGTGACAGTTTTTAAAATTAAGTCAAAATATCAGAATTTTTTAAGTGTTATTTTGCTAGTTAATCTCTTTTTAATCAGGAAAGAATTGGATTTGCTGTATCCCCTTAAAAAAGGGGGGGGATGAAAAAATCGATTATTATAAAATTGATAAAAAAATATTTCTTTTCTGCACATCTAAAACATGTATGTTAACATGTATGTGAAAAATTAAGACTGTAGAATGTTTTTCCAGTATCATATGACCTATGTATAATTTTTCTTTTTAATTCTAGGTTTCGGATCCATGTTGCGTGCCATTGGCGCTCAGATTGAGAAAACAACTAACAGGGAAGCTTGTCGAGATTTGAGTGGTAGAAGATTGAGAGATATTAATGAAGAGCAACGGTGCTTTTTATTAATATTTTTTTGTGTTAATTATATTTTTTAAGCAGTTTCATATAACCGTAGAAAAGTCAATTTTGGTAACTAATAATAAGTGGAATTATTTTATGGCATTTAATTAGCGTGTGTATATCTTTAAATCAAACTTGTTATTTTGCAGTATTTTAAAAAGACTACGTAATTTTAGGATATATGCTTTATAGAATGTGAAAGGTAATTAATTTATTCACCGTTGAATATTAAATGGAAAAATACAGTCATAAACGTACTTTTTTCTGGAACAGATTAAAGATTATATGTCTTTCATATATCAGACATCATATATTTTTAAAAAAGGGGGACTCAAATTTGCATAAATGATTTTAAATAAAATGCAGTCGCAACACCCCCCAAATGTGATTTAATGTTTCCCAGATATTGTGCTTGACATATGCATGAAATCTTTTTATATTGTGTTACAAATTGAGTAATAATTATTTGTAATTCATTTTGCCTGAATACTAAATTGCATGATAATTTTTTAGCCAGTTTTTTTTTAAATTTTAATTAGCACATGCAAAGAAGGTTTAACATTTATTTCATGTAGCTATTTGGTTATTTTTAATATGGATTAGATTTAGAATTGGCAACGGTAACTGCTAATAGTAAATACTGAAATAATTTACAAATTTATAGTATAGTTTTTAATTTTTTTTTCAGAAAAACTTGAAAAAATATTCTTAATAGACTGTCATTTAAAATCATTGTTTTGACAAGATATTACAAGCTCACATCTAAGATATGATATATATCTTTGACAAGATATTACACAATACGTATTTTAATATGACTAATATAAACAATGATAATAATAAAGCTATGTAAACTTGAACATTATGAGAATAATACATTAGCTCACAACAACAATTTGATAGTCATTTCTTACAGACAAAAACTTACTAAGTCTTCAGTAGCATTTTAATTGAAAAATTATAGAAAAACTTCATGAGACTATGAATTATTTTTCCAAATATTTTAATAGCATTTCATATTGTTAACATGTATTTTCTATTCCCTCATCATCTCTTTTTTTTTCCTTTAACCCTTTGCGACACGCGTATTTAAAATATATTTTAATCTTTAAAAAAATGCCTTAGAATAAGTCAGATGGACTTACTTAAGTGCCTTTAAGGCTTGAAAAAAATTCTGCGCTTTTATTTTTTACGGGGGAAGGTGGGATACCATTTGTCCCACCATGCAACTAGCACATGTCTTATAGCATATTGGTGTATAGCAGGGAAAAAAAAAATCATATGTGGAATGAATAAACAAAATAAAGCGTGCATTCTAAAATATTCATAATAAACACACTAAAATGCATTTTGTACTTATTGCATATATGCATGACTTGTAAAATTTTGAATATGCACATTTTGCATATATATTTTAATATTTTTAAATTTTAAGAACAAAAGAAAATATTTTTCTTGAATATATTTTAAGATTAAAATTTGATACACGTACAAATGATACTAAATAAAATATTGAAATTGGCACTTGATTCAAAAACATTTATATATGATAAAAACTGAAAAACAGTCATTTTTCTAAAACTTTGAAAAACATTGTTGTTTTTCATTCTTTTGTAAGCATAGAGGCACTTCACATGTTTCACATATCCAAAATGTTCGTCGTTCTTCTTTCGATGTGCTGCGATATGCACATCTTTCTCCTGCTCGTTCACTTTGGCATGTGACTTATATTTTTTAGTCTCTTTTCTGTTGTACGAACGGGTTTTTAGTTTTTATTTGAACTGGGGATTTCAGTTTTCTTTTCTGCTCTTTCTTGCCTGCAAGTGCCATTAGACCTTCTATAACTGAGAGAAGAAAATCTTTCATTGTGTTTACATCATGATCGAGTTCGCGAACAAACTTAAATAGAATAAATGCTGTTAAGTCATTAAGACTATTTAACTGTAAGATTACGTCATTTTTTCTCTTCTTGGCACCTTACATGGCGAAGATGTTCATTACAGCAACCCTGTAAACGCTTACTCAGTTTTTTTTTATTGCTGTTGTTGTTAGTAGTAAGTCATCGCTTGAAAGATGGCACGCATTTGATTAAAGTTGTCGAATAAAATATTTAGTACAGTCCACTTCTAGTTAATTTGAAATTGTATAACAACGCACGCATCGCATGAATACTTTATGGCCCGCCGAGCCACAGGTAAAAGATATCGTTGCTAAAATTAACCTTTTAGAACATTTGTAATACTTTCGTTTGGTTGTATTACGCATAACTTCATATAGAGTGTTTGGAATGCTTTCGTTTTCGTGTGGATTACGCAATTAAGATTGAATACTGTGTCATCGTTCATTTCCGGTGTTGCTGTCGAGAAATTTGCAATCACGGTAAGTGATAAATTATTTATTTGTTTCATGATGAGTGAATTGAAAGCGATTAAAGCTAACAAAAAAAGTTTAAAATGCAGTATCAGAAAGTTTGAAAATAAGGTAAATTCTGCAGTGGATGAAGCAGATATTTCCTTATTGGAGTTATACGAATCAAAAATATTAGAATTTAAAAAGGAATTAAGTAACATTTTCGATTATTTATTTGCACATTGTGAAGAAAAGGACACTGACGAATTCATTAAGGAAAAGGAAATGTAGTAGATAATCTCGATGAAATTCATTTGAAAATTAAAAGAAAAATTTCTGAGATCAGTTCTCAAAGGAATAGCTGCTCAAATGAAAACGGTTCGAGTAAAGACATAATTGTTTCGGATATAAAATTACCTAAATTGTCTCTCTTCCAATATTTAGTGGGAAAATCGAAGAATGGATTGAATTTGAGGATTTATTTTCCGCATCTGTGCATAAAAATAGCAAATTAACTAATGCGCAAAAATTGCAATATTTAAAGAGTTCGTGTAAGGCACATACGCGTTAAATATTATTCAGTCCATTCCAATTTCGGATTCAAATTATGACATAGCATGGAATCTGTTTGGCTGAGCTCGCTATTGCAACAAAAAAGATTTGATCAATTCTATCATAAAGAAATTAATTTCTGTACCTCAAACGAGTGATTCTACTTCGTCGCTTTTAAAATTTATCGATAAGGTGCATGAATGTTTACGATCCTTGGAAGCATTGGAGCAAAAGGTGGAAGAATTTTCTGACATGTTAATTGTTTATTTATTAGTTGAAAAGTTGGATAGAAATACTCAGTGTTGGTAGGAAAGATCACTTAAAAAAGATGAAATAGGAACAGTTAAATGACTGACATGTTTTTTGAAGGAACATGCTCGCACCCTATCCCATTACAAACCTCCGCAAGGGGAAACGAAATGCTCATTTAATACCAAAGCTCTTGCATCATTTTTGGAAAATTCAAAAATTTGTCCTTATTGTAAAGCTGATCATTTATTGTTGAAATGTGCGCAATTCTTAAATCTAACAGTCAAGAAACGATTTTGAATTTGTAAAGACAAAAAAAACTATGTTTCAATTGTTTATCTTCGGTCCACACAATCAAGGACTGTAAAAGTTCTAATACATGCAGAAAATGTCAGAAATTTCACAATTCGCTCTTACATTTTGATCGAAATGAAGAAAATTTCGATAAAGCAAATGGCACATCGAATCAAATCACAACAAGACTAATAATTAAGTAAGCATAATCTTTCTCCAAATGCTGATACATTTACTCCAATGGCAAGCAGCCAAAAGGTTAGTGACACTAATAAAACCAACCAAGCAAAGTCCATTAATGGTACTGCGCTGAATATTTCCAGTTCTTTTAATAAACAAGTTCTACTTTCAACTGCAATTATTTTCGTTAAGGGTAATGATGAAAAATTTATCTCGCTGAGAGCCTTGCTGGATTCCGGTTCTCAAAATAATTTCATTACTAAAGAAGGTGCTGAGTTATTGAATTTGAAGAAAAGAAAAATAAACGCTTCTATTTCAGGTATCAATGGTACAGTTATGGGTGTTAAGGAAAAAGCTATAGCAACCATCGCTAACGCTACTAGAGATTTTATTCGTACATTACAATTTTTTGTTGTTCCAAAAATAACTCGCGTAATGCCTGCTAGATATAAACATTCCTGATGTTAAGCAGTTGCAACTCATTGGTTTAGCTGATCCAGAGTTTTATAAACCTGGTCAAATACATGTTTTATTATCTAACGAAATATTTTTGATTTACTGGGAACAAATAGAATAAATATGCAAGACCTGATTCTCCATCAGTCAGTTTTTGGATACATTGTTAGCGGGTCAGTGCGCATGCCGCAGCAAGGCGTGTGTTGATAATTATTGTGGGTTTGTGGAAAATGGGGATAATTTATCTGACAACATGAGAAGGTTTTGGGAGATTGAAGGTATTAATGAAGCAAAAAAAGTGAAAAGTCAGGAAGAGGAATTTTGTGAACAGCACTTTCTTCGTACACACACGAGGCAAGATAATGGCAGATATGTAGTGGAAATGCCAATTAAGGAGGAAGGACTTAGCCTTTTAGGGGAATCGAGAGAAAACGCTAGCAAAAGACTGAATTATCTACTTAAACGCTTCACTCGCAATCCCGCAATGAAACACTTATACGAAGATTTCATTAAGGAATACAATAAATTAGGACATTCCGAAGAAATTGATGAAGGGGATAGCTCTAGTTTCTCATGTTATCTTCCTCACCATGGGGTTTTCAGACCCGAGAAACCTAGCACTAAACTTAGGGTAGTGTTCGATGCTACTGCTCCTACGACTACTGGAATTTTCGTTAACAATATTCTGCTGAATGGAGGGTTAGCTCAAGACGAACTATTTGATATTATTTGCAGATTTCGAACGCATAAAATTGCCTTCACAGCAGACTTGTAAAAATGTATCGTCAGATTTTGATTAAAGAACATCAGCAAGAGATTTATTACGCATCTTATGGAAGAGTAGTGAAGAAGAACCAGTTAAGGTCTATAGACTGAAGACTATAACTTACGGTACTTCCAACGCACCATATC